AATTTTTTTAAAAAGTATTTTCCATATTCACAGAAGCAGTTACAATAGTTTATAAATGTTCTGCAAAATGTCTGCACATTGCCCTGAAAAATACTGTTAATCCAGTATTCCTGAAACAAATATAAGTTACTCAGAGTTCATGAAACTGGTGGAAATTGAGACCATCCACAGATGTACTTTGCTTGTTTCCCTTTCAGTTTCCTGTAACCTGGCTGTCTTCTACCACGATCCTATTCATGACAATATCAACTGCCTCCATGTTCACTGCCCAACACTGGAGAGCTGCATATTAGAGCCTGGAACCAGTGCCATTTTGTACAACATAACAGATGGTAATGATTACATATTTCAAGACTTTTAAAGAATGCTGGCAATACTCTAGTAGAGGCATATAGCTGAGAAACTGGCTGGCAACAGTCAGATGTGAGTCCCTAGAATCATTATTTCCAGTGAACTTTGGAAAAATTTTGCATATCTAGGATGGAAAACTGAAAGAAAATTCTCTTTAGTTTAATGTTTAGCAATTAGTTCACTCCAGATTATAAATGATACATGATTGAACAAGAGCTTACCCACTGTATTTCATGAATCTCAAGAACTCTTAGTAAAGCTAAAGGAAGGGTTTCTCAGCCGGGCACAGTGGCTCATGCCTGTTATCCCAGCACTTTGGGAGGCCAAGGCGGGCAGATCACGAGGTCAAGAGATCGAGACCATCCCGGCCAACATGGTGAAACCCTGTCTCTACCAAAAATACAAAAATTAGCTGTGCGTGGTGGCATGTGCCTGTAGTCCTAGCTACTCAGGAGACTGAGGCAGGAGAATCACTTGAACCTGGGAGACGGGTTGCGGTGAGCTGAGATTGCGCCACTGCACTCCAGCCCGGTGACAGAGCAAGACTCCGTCTCGAAAAAAAAAAAAGAAAGAAGCGTTTCTCCTGCAGTGGCTGAGGGTGCCACTAGGAGATAAAGAACATGCTAAATGGCAGTTCTGAGGTCCAATGGACACTGCATACAGGATTCTGAAAAGAGGGATGTCACGTTCAGGGAAACTTACCACCGTGTGCTAACATACATTAGCATATCATTGGTCCCAAGATAACCAGTGTATTTTATTTTAGAAATATAAGTGTTTTGTGCCCATTTATGTAATCTCAGGGTGTAAATTACTGACCATAAAAGAAGAGATTTTTGCCATCAAAATGCAAAGGAGATAAATTTCTTATCAATTTGTATGTATTGAACACCTGATGCTCCAGGCTAGAATCAACACTGTGGAAGATCGCAGCCATATCTCTGCCCTCAAGCTCCTTTATAATCTAGTAGATGTGACAGATCTTACAATTAGTGTTAAGACACAACTAAATACAGAAATGTGTGAAGCTGTCTCAGTGCAAAGTTTCAAAGAAGGGGAGGCTAGTGAAAGTCAGTGTATTCAGAGCAGGTTCATGGAAGAAGGCAGGCAGAAGAAGATGAGTTCTATATTATGCCACAGGAGAGTAAGCAAACAGGTCTGGACACAATAAGGAGACATGTAATTGCAATGAAAATATGGCTAAGATAAGGTAGGGACAGGTATCATAAGGGCCATGGACAGAGTAGAGTTTTGGTTTGACTTTGTCTGAAACAGACAACAAGGGCATTTAATGAAAAAACATGTGAAGTGATATCTATTTGTCCTAGTCCACACTTATATGCAGGTACAGATTAGAAAATCTAGTCAGGGAAGCATTAAAGTCTGCACAAAGTGACTGTAGTTGAAATGAAGAGAAGGGATAATTATCAGAGCATTGGGAAGGTTGAATAAGGACTTAGTCACCTTTTTAATGAAAGGAAATGAAGTGAGTGGAGTCAAAATCACTTTGCAGGCCCAAGTGCAGTGACTCACGCCTGTAATTCCAGCACTTTGGGAGGCTGAGGCAGGAGGATCGCTTGAGCCCAGGAATTCGAGACCAACCTGAACATCATAGAGAGACCCCCATCTCTACAAAAAAAAATTAGCCAGGCAAGGTGCTGTGTGCCTGTGGTTGGTTCCAGGTACTCATGAGGCTGAGGTGGAAGGATCACTTGAGCCCAGGAGCTCAAGGTTACAGTTAGTTATGATTGCATGATCACACTCCAGCCTGACTGACAGCTGTCTCTTAAAAAAAAAAAAAAAATCACAGTGCAGATTTCAGTGTGGGTGATGGAAGAATGATGATGCCAATGAAGGAGACAAGGAGGCAGAGATAATAATTTTGACTTTGGGCATATTAAGAGATGATGTAAGAGGTCCAGATGGAAACCTCCAATAGAAGACTGGATAAATGAGATCAGAACTCAAGAAAGAGGGGAAAACATAGTGATATGGGTTTCAATGCCATTGATGTAGTGGTGCCAATTGAGCATGATCTCTTTGTGTGTGTTGGAGGGGAGGGGGTGGTGAAGAGAAAATACATCTGAAAACCAAGGACTGAAGATGATGGAAACCACACAAGCAGTGAGATTGTACAAGAGAACCAGCAAAAGAAAGTAAAAATGAGAGGCAGTGGGGGAAAATGCCAAGGGGGTCCGAGGTCCAGGGAGTCATGGGAGAAGAATTCAAGAAGGTGGCCGGTAGCATCAAGGACAAGAAAGAAGCCAAAGCAAGGTGACGTGAGTGATCAGGAAGTAAAGAAACAATTGACTACCTCAGAAGCAATGGATGCTGGCATGTTTGCGCATGGAGAGAGGGAGGGAGAGAGAGAGAGAGAGAAGTCACCAGCAGGGACCATTGGAAAGCTGTTGACAGTTTTTTCTCTTCTCGTATAAAGACAAAGCAGTATTTGTTCATGTCTGAAGTTAGAGGGAAAGGAGTTAGTATACAAGGGAGAAAATACTAAAGACAAAGCAAGACCCTCAGAGGTCGAAAAGGGATGAGACTTAAGGCTTTGCTCATGATTTGGCTTATAGTCACCCTTCTCAGGCCCTGTTTTGCTTAACTTGATTTAAAGACACTATATTGCTGGGTGTGGTGGCTCCTGCCTATAATCCCAGTACTTTGGGAGGCCGAGGCGGGCGGATCGCTTTAGCTAACAAGTTCAAGACCAGTCTGGGCAACATGGCAAAACTCCATCTCTACAAAAAAACAAAAACAAAAACAAAAAAAATTAGGTGGGCGTGGTGGCGCACGCCTGTAATCCTAGTTACTCAGGAGACTGAGGTGAGAGGATTGCTTGAACCCGGGAGGCAGAGGTTACAGTGAGCTGAGACCGCACCACTGCACTCCAGCCTGGGTGATAGGGCAAGACCCCGTCTCAAAAAATAAATAAATAAATAAATAATAAACGCTATGTTGTATCTCAAATGGTTACTGTTTCTACAGCTCTCAAAGTAACACTCACTATTGTACAAAAACCCTGACAGACACAAAGCCTTCTCCTTGGGTGTAGTCAAATTTGTTCATTTAAAAAAAAGTGTTTTAGAAAGTTAAGATAAATTCAAATGTAGCCAGTATGTTTGGAAACCTTTGAGAAGAATGTGGTAGTAGAACGTGAATTTAGCTTTGTTCAGTAACTCATAGTGGCAAAAGCCAATCCCTTCTCCAAACTGTGCTTTAAGGTTTTTGTTTTGAAAGTAAAAATAAAATGAATGATGCCTTATTTATTTTTCAGGTATAGATCCAGATTTGCTGGTTTTCGAACAATCTTCCACATATCTCAATACTCGTTCTTCATCCAAGAGATGGGACAGACTAAGGATTCTAAAAGCTATGAATTTAGATAAACAAACCACCATGATAAATGGTATGCTGCCATCCACAGAGGCTCCATCCTCAACCACACATCAAGATTTAGTTGTAAACACAAACAGTACCAGTTATTCTAAGGAATTAACCACAGATTTTTGGGCAAGATTTACTTCCCTGAATGACTCCATTACCGCAAAGATAAATATGGTGTCACCAAATACTGATTTCATCAGCAATCCAGATAATAAGACTATTTCTCCTTTCTTTGTACCCATAGACACAAAACTTTCTCATATGCCTATTCCACCCCTACTCAACAGTAGCAAACAATTCCTGAATAAAACCAAAGGATACAATAGCAGAAACCACACATCTGCGAATGAAGATGAGGTATCTGTGACTTCAAAGGCTTGGCCGGTTTCTGTGGCCCTTTGCACCTCTGTCATCTTCCTTGGCTATTGTATAGTCATCCTGGCATCTGGATGCTGTGGAAAGCAGCAGGGCCACTATAAACTGAGACGGAGAAAATCAGGATCCTAGCAAATTAAAAATCGTAACCATGTGAAGGAGAACTCGTCATAGTAAAAGCTGTAGCAAGATTATATGCTTTAAAGGATATCATTTTTAGTTTTGTGTAAGAAAGGGCAGTTTAGTGGAAAAAAAAATTGGTCTGGGCGTGGTGGTTCATACCTGTAATCCCAACACTTTGGGAGGCCAAGGGAGAAGAATTGCTTGAGCCCAGGAGTTGGAGACCAGCCTGGGCAACATAGTGAGACCCTGTCTCTATAAAATAAAAAATAAAAAAAAATAGCACATGGGGCAACATGATGCACCTGTGGTCCCAGCTACTCAGGAGGCTGAGGTGAGAGGACTGCTGCCGCAGTGAGCAGTGATTGCACCACTGCACTCCAGCCTGGGCAACAGAGCCAGACCCTGTCTCAAAAGAAAAAATAGGATGCCCACTCCTACCAATCTGTGAAAAAAAAAAAAAAAAGGCTAATGCTTGATAAACATAACTGCTTTTTTTGTTGTTATTTCTATTTTTTGAGTAGTGTTCCCTCTGCCAGAGTTGCAAAATTCTGATCCTTACAGTTGTTACTGAGTGAGACACACTGTTTGAGTGCTTTAGGGGCATGAACTCACTGAATCCTTCCAACCCTGAGAGGTGGGTATCCTGCTGTTAACCATGATACTATTATCACATTTTACAGACGAGGCAACTGAGGTGAAGAGAGGTTAAGCATCTTCCCTAAAGACACACAAGTATTAAGTAGTGAAGTCAGGACTTAATTAAACACAGGCAGTCTGGTTCAAGTCCATGTTCAAAATCACTGTTAGACTAAAAGTATATGTTTTCCCAAAAACCACAAAAAAAAAAACAATACCAGGAAGAAAACACCACAATATCATCATATTTGCCTCCCAGTCAAGGTCAAATTATTGTCACGTATAGTAATACGATCATGTAGTAATTTGAGCAAAATAACACAGTTACTAACAGTTACTAACGCATAAGCAAATGCTTCCTGACTTTAATCTAGCTTTCTACTTTCAATTGATTAATCCTTCTCAATTCCAACCCATCTTCATCTTCCTTTCAGTAATTGTGCTACGGAGCTCTTTGAGCTTTCTGTGTTGATTTCTGTTGAATAAAGCTTAGGAGTTTTAGTTTTAGTTACAGCCCTCG